ATATACCCTGCTTACCCATTTTTAATGGGTTCAGGGTATGAAAATTTAAAATATAAGAACTAAATCTCCTATGAGAAAAATAAAAAAAATATCACTTTAGTTTTAGGGACTCCAATCTATCAAAAATATCCATTCCAGCAAATGCGCCATATTTTGTTGCATATTATAATCAGTTCATTTTAGGTTATCAGTATTCATCATATATGTATGTAAATATATTTTTGTGTGTGCATGCCTTACAAGAATATAATCAAGATACCGACCAAATTTTGCACTTTAATCAACGCAGACCCTCTATACGATTTAGCTACGTATATATTAAGAGTCTGATCATATATAAGAATTTGCAGTAAAAAATCATATAGACAGTGTATTAAAATAACTTAATGTGGCGAATCTAATTTGAAGTTGAGCTGTTTTTTCTCCAAATGCTTAAACCTAAAACTTCGGTGGTCACCCGACCGCTAATAAAGTATAATTTCTTTCGTCTATTTTCTATATGTACACCATATTCTTTATTCGTTGTCTCAAAGCCACACATATAACATCGCAAGCAATCCCTGGAATGTGTGGATGTAAATAAGTAGTATTATCACTACTCACTGTTTGATTTTGCAAGATTCTTCGAAAATTAAAGAATATTTTTCGTACACATGAGCATACATTAGGGAAGAGCAATTCTTACTCAAGCCGTTTGAAGTAACTAGTATTTAAAAGTAACTTGTTACTGTTGTTACAACTATTAAAAGTAACATTTACAAGATATCAACCTGACACATTAGGCGATAGTTAAGCAAAGGTCTGGTTTTCAGTCTTGTTTGACTCAAAGGACTGACATTGCAAATTTTGCAGAGATACAGACAGACGAAATGAAAAATGACTGGATATATTTTTCAATATCCAGGCTTTTAAATAAACTTGAACAACTTGCTCAATTTTTTTATATATCATTTTATAATTGCTGTCTTGTCTCTCTTGCTCTCTAAATATTTTATTTTTTAAACAGTACTTGTCTGTGTTTACGCTGTATATTCGTGTGTTTGTACTATATTCATTGATGAATTGAAAACTTTATAACAGATCTGTACTCAGGGTGTTAAGTTCTTACTTGCTGCATAGCTGATTACTGTGTGACTGGCGTGTTCTGAGGAAGTTCTTTTCGTATTCTTCGGAGAACTGAATACTTCGTACTGTTGTTTTTGCCGCAAAGCTGATTGTTCGGCTCTCGAGGTTTGCTGCTTCTTTTAACAGGGCAAAAAGGTTCAGATTCTATTTATTTTGAATTGCTTATGAAAACCTTTTACAGCTGTATATAATATAATAAGAGGAAAATATATGATAAACCGTAACATAATTACATATCTTTGGTTTGTTTATATAATATTTTAATAAAACAGTGCGTACTTGATACAACTGGCTAATTTTTGTAACTGTGACTTAGAAATAACATCGATCATCCCTAGTAAAATGATAAGTCAAGACAGCAACCACAAAATTATAAATTAACGTTGTAAAAATTTATTTGAGGTATCGGCAATTTACATTGAATGCACTCTCATGGAACGGGGAAGCTGCTGTTCGCATTGGCAACATCTAACAGATGTGAAATAGCAGCCATACAATGTTTTGTAAACAAATCCCCAAAAATAAGATTTTTAAAAATAAATTGGCAATTTTTGCTGCTTTTGCTGTAGAGCACCAACCAGTGAGGAATTTCAAGAGTTCGACGACGACGATGATGTATTTTTAACTTTAAATGTCAATGGGCATATGCCACTTAGGGTTGGGATGTTCGTTAAGTAGTAATTAAATAATGCAAACCAGCAAGAAATTGTTTTTATATATTAAAGCAGCTATTTGAAGTAATCTGGGTAATAAAAATGCCCGAAAATAATGAGCATGTTTTAAGGGAAAGCTTTCGTATGGAGGTCATTTTTTTAATGCTTGTAAAACCCAGGCGTTTTTTTGAAAACGCGTTTGACCATTTGTAGCAAAGGGAAAGGATTTGAAAATTACCCAAGAAATTACGTCGCCATTTTTATGGCATACTGCATAGTATTTTAAATGTCCATAATAGCAGCATCAGTGACAATAGGAATATTGCTCTTCACGAGGCGCGTGAGCAGCCACACCAAAGTAATACTTCAAATGGTTATAGCTGTGGTGCAGAAGAAACAAGATCCACTATAGCATAGTTTGTCAATAGGAATGAAGAATAAAAGACATATTTGAAGGCACAATGGTTTTTTTACTTTAAAATAAATAATTATAATTTAAATAGTCATTAGAATTTCGTAAAAAATCCATCAGCTTCGAAACTTCTCTGTGCTGCAATGTCATGGAGCGTTGCCCTTTGCGTTTACTGGTGCTCCAGTTGTGTCTTGCATGTTCCGTGAAATTTGAAGCCTTTCACAATACCGACCAGCTTGACATGGTGGTTAATTCTGGAGTGGTTTGATGGCCGTGATATCTGCAAAAGGTAATATCATATTAACTAAATAATTAAACACTATGATTACAACATACCATGGATATCCACCGTAACTCCAGGTGGCTTTTAAAACAAAGTTTGGTCAATTTTATAAAAATGATCCCATTTAAATGGAGCTCTTCCACTCGGAATTTTTGTTTCTTATAGCCTTTCTCCACTGGGCTTAAATATGTCACATTTTCAAGTTTTACATATTGGTGTTCCACCGGTTTTCGGTAACATGTAAGTGGCAAAAGTACTGTTTCTTTAAATAAACAGCTGATCGAGTTGCTTTAATTTACATAAGCGCCGCACAGATTTCCTTCCAAAAGTAAAATAATACGGCCCCGAAGTAGGGGCTCCGTTTAATAGACCCTTTGCGGGATTTGGCCTACTTTAAATGTTAAAAACTGTGGGATTATTAAAATTATAATTTAAAGTTACCGCTTGCCTTCGTTGCAATATCAGCTGGTTTATGTTTACATTTTTCACAACATCGATAGAAATCTCGATTAATCATCGCAAAATAGACGAAATGTTCGGGGCGAATTTACACATTTTTCAAAAATGTCACATTTTCAGAAATGTGTTCAGTGGGCAGAGGCTATTAATTGAAAAATATAAATTTTATCTACACCTAATAAGTTGCCAATATTTTTCTTGCGATATATCTATTAGCAGGTTTTTAGTGTCGAGATACCATAAGAGGCGGCTTGAAGTGTTATTTTTTCCTTAAAAAAAATATTTTATATAAATAGAGAAATAAATTAGCTTGTCTTCCAACTAACTACGCGACACTTCGAGTAAACTATTCAATTTTTTTTGACGATTGATTACGTTTTTGTAGAGAATTGCAATTTTGTTTTAGGGATGAACTAAAAACTATCGGCTTAATATTATATGGAACAGTATGGGATAGGAGCAGATAATTTGACATTAATGACATTTTGGCACGGCAAATCCTTAGGGAACATATTGACAGAAGGTGTAAAATGTTGAATTGCCTATTAAATATTTATTCATAGAAAGTAATAATTACTCCAATGACAGCCACATTAGTTTATTCGCTCGTCGGTTCTAGCCATATTTTCAGTGGCTGTTGAATAGAAGAATGATCGATATATAAACTATGCTTAATATTTTTGCAACCAATAGGTGTTTCGTCTCTATTATCTATTTTCTATTATTCTAATATCAGTTTCAAGCTGTATCTCGCTCAGCGCACAACGTCGCCGTGGCTGAAGTTAAATATGTTACTTTTGAATTCCTTCCTTAGTCTAATTCTCCCTGCAAAGCTTTTCAAAAAATCCCGAGATCTACTAACACACATATGCAATTAAAATATTTACAAAAGACCAATCTTATCCTTTGATATCAAATTATTTAAGATATTATATTTCAGCAATTTTACCTTTATTATAATCTTTAGTAGTTTGGATATGCATAGCTTTATTTTTATACCCAGAACCCATTGAAAATGGGTAAATGGGTATAATGCATTTGTGCAAATGTATGTAACAGGCAGAAGAAAACTACTCCGAAAAACTTCTCAGCATCAACAGCCAAGTCGATCTAGCCATGTCTGTCTGTCCGTCTGTCCGTCTGTCCGTCCGTCCGTCCGTCTGTCCGTATGTATGAACGCATGGATCTCAGAACCTATAAAAGCTAGAGTTAAAACTGAAATTTTAGCTGTAGGTCCTCCTAGACCATGCGCAGTACAAGTTTTTTTCCGATAATCGATAACTTACTCCTTTTCCAAGCTATCGATAAAAATCGATATAAAAATTCTGTTTTTTGAGCATATTGGGTAATTAATGAGAGCTACAGTCACCAACATTGATATGTAGCTTTTAAAATAGTATATATATATATCAAGTATATTGCATTTTATAGCTACCACCACCTCCCCGCTACTATCTCATAGCTATAAATCAAGTAAAAACACTACTTTATGCTGTCCACCAATAAAAGCCACAATTAAATGCAATTGACTTTTTGGGATACACAAATATTCTACAAATAACAAATTTCATCAAGATCGGTTAAGAAACTCAATTAAAGAAAACGTGTTTTGACTAGAAATCTAACAAAATTTATTTCTTTGCCAGCCAAAGCCAGAGCAGTGAATAACACATATACATATACATATTTTTATGTAGCTATGCATGCATAATTCACACAAACAAACATTGGTGCTTGCACGCCATTGGCTGAGACAAGAAATTCTCTCCCAACTACACTAATTTTCTATAGTACAATAAGATCTACTGTTGACGTGATTTGGCTGGCCACGTGTTAGTGGCAGCTAGCGCAAATTGCAAGAATTTCTGTATACAAATTATTTGATTTCTCAAATGTAGACTCAGATCCTCTTTGATATCAATTTCGTCTATAAAGATGTTGATGCTGGAACTCAGATCTTCGCCACAGGTGCTGGGATTGGTAAGGTAATCTTCTTTGTTGATTATGTTGGGAAAGCAACTGGTTTCCAAATCACTGACCTTGTGGCACAGCAATAAAACAATTATAATAATGTGTTGATGACGGCAAGTGCCGGATCAGTATATTTGAAGAAGTTGTTCCTGCAAAGTTGGATACAAAACTGACTTAACTAAAAGAATAAATATAAGAAACTAAATTTAAAAACATAAATGGAATTTACTTGGGACATGCCCCGGGTTCGTGGTCATCAAGCCGACTCAGCATAATCATAGTGATAGTGCAGCGTTGCGACAGCAGCCTACTTCTGGCTGTTGATCCCCAACGCTCGCTCTCAGAAAGTTGAGTGGGTAATCTGACTCGTGAGCATTTCGGGCGCACGGGTTGCTTGATAAGTTCGTGGGAGGATAGCTTGTTAACTTCCTTGTTAACTGTTCCCCCTTCAAGATCATTGCCGTCCTCGGTGATGCTTAACTCGTTGAAGACTTCTCGTAGCTTGATTGACGAAATTCTCCGGCTTCAACATTAATACACGAAGATGAGCCCGCAAAATATGAGGCTGTGCGACTTTACTCGCATTTTTTTTTTTATTAAGAACAAAGTATGAATATAGTTTATATGATTAAGCAATTTTCATGAGTGTCTCCAGTAAGTAGTTTTTGGGAACCGAGAGCTGATCCAGTTCCGAACTCGTTCACGACTAAGCTATGATTTATCGATTATTGATATTTTATTTAGGCGATGAGACTGCCACATCCACTCCCCCTCCAATACTGCAGTTAATTTGCAAAATGAACGTATTTTTTGGGCGGACGTACTTCACGTCCGCTACGAGTGGTAATAATTGGGTGTTGAATGTTGCAGTTAGTTGCAGGTGAAGATGATGTTTGATCGTTTGCTTCCAAGTAAGCTGCCTTAACACGGTCGATGGTTACAGCGTTATGCCTGCCGTTGATATCGATTAGAAATTGCTTATCGTTGCGGCTGATAACTAGAAATGGCCCCTCATAAGGTGCTTTGAGCCGCGCTTTGACTGTGTCATCCCGTAGGAAAATGTGTGTACATGTTTTGAGATCCTTTTGAACGAATACTTTGGTAGTAGTGTGGTGTGATGTATTTACGGGCTTCAGTTGGGACATGGTTAAACGTAGGCGCTTGGTGAATTCACTTTCGATGTACTCTTCGGCAGGTTTTTGGAAAAATTCACCCGGCAGCTTTAAAGTTGTCCCGTAAACCATTTCCGCTGAAGAGGCGTTGAGATCTTCTTTAAATGTTGCTCGTAAGCCCAGTAGTACGATGGGAAGGCTGTCTGTCCAGTTGGAGTCAGTGTGTCTTTCCACTATGCCGTTGGCTTGTGGGTGGTGTGCTGTTGTTCGCAGATGCTTGGATCCCGTCAACTGTATAAGTTCCTTAAACAATTTGGACTCAAACTGTCTGCCTTGATCGGTAGTTATGAAGTGTGGCGTGCCGTAGTTTGCAATTCAACCATGCAATAAAGCTTTAGCTACCGTCTCTGCCGTTATGTCTGCTATTGGGACTGCCGCCGGCCAGCGTGAGAACCGGTCAATGCACGTCAGACAGTACCTGTAATTTTTGGACAGTGGCAACGGGCCAATTAGGTCAATGTGGATATGTTCAAATCGCTTTTCGGGCAGGTTGAATTCTTGAAGCGCTGCTTTGTTGTGTCTGTTGACTTTTGCCTGCTGGCAGCTGATGCAGTTGTTGACCATTTGAGCTATATCTCTTTTCATGTCTCTGCAGACGAAACGTTCGGTTATGAGTTTCACTGTAGCGCGCTTACTTGGGTGCGATAAGTTTTATGGAATTGAAGACTTGCTTACGGTAGCTGTGTGTGATATACGGACGGATTCGTTGGATTTGTTTTAGCTGTAGGGAAGAATGCTCAATAAGCTGTTGCAATTCTGCGTCTGCTTGTTGACTTAAGGGTAGCTCCTTAAAATTTATTTGATCGTCGTTAAAGATCGCTTCAACTCTGGACAGCGTATCTGCGACGACGTTCTGTTTGCCCGCGATGTGCTGGATATCCGTTGTATATTCGCTGATAAAGCTGAGCTGTCGAGTTTGCTTAGGTGTCGTTTTGTCTGGATTCTGCAGAAAGCAAAGGTAAGCGGCTTATGGTCGGTCAGTACTGTGCAGCTGCGCCCTTCGATCATATGTGAAAAGTATTTGACGGAAAGAAAAATCGACAGCAAGTCACGGTCATAAGTACTTTGCTTTTTCTGCGATTCCGATATCCGTTTAAAGAAGAAACCGAGCGGCTTGAGGGATCCGTTTCGCAACTCACTCAAGGCTGCGCCCACGCAGAAGTACCAGTTTAGCATTTGCGGACGGATTGGAGTCTTGTCCTTCTTTTTGTTGCCTATGATTAGCATCGCTAAAAAACTTTTAAGCTCGTGCGCCAGTGTAGGTCTTTTCAAATCTATGATTGCCTATATACGACCCTTGGTCGGAGTTATGCCGGTCTTTGTGACATGATAGCCCAGGAAATCCACTTGTGGTTGCCCGAAGATGCATTTTGAGGCGTTTATGCGCAGTCCATGCTGCCGTAGTCTGCCAAACACATCCTTGACGTGCTGATAATGCTCCTCCTCATTTTGCGATGCGATGCAGATGTCATCAATGTAGACTATGACATTGTCCATATCACGAAATATTTGGTCCATGAATCGTTGAAATGTTTGGCTAGCGTTATATAGCCCAAATGTCATTACATTAAATTCGTATAGTCCAAATGGAGTGGCGATTGCAGCTTTGCTGCGGTGTTCTGGGGCTATTGGTATCTGATGATATGCTCGTTCCAGATCAATTGTCGTGAAGATTGACTTGCCACTGAGTTTTTATGTGATATCATGAATATGCGGCAATGGATACCTGTCTGGCTTTGTGATATGGTTTAGCCGTCTGTAGTCGCCGCATGGCCGCCATTCGTTTTTGTTCTTCTTGGCTGCCATGTGTAGTGGGCTTGCCCATTGGGTGCTGCTTGGACTGCAAATGACCTGCTTCAGCATGTAGTCAATTTCTCGTTTAGCTATAGCTATTTTTTCAGGGTTCAGCCGACGCGCTTTTGATACTACGGGCTGGTCCTTTGTTAAGATGTTATGCTGCACTGTCGTCTTTACATCGTGTGCTGCGTACTTGCAGGGCATGGTCGTTGGTCGTTGGTCACTTGAGACACAGTGAGTAGTTTTTCGAATTCCACACTGCACGTTGTGGCCCTTATGTACAGCTTTTTAGAGCTGTCCGTAATGAGTTTTCTGCGTACGTCGACCAGCAGCCCGTATTCGTGTAGGAAATCAGCTCCAATGATTGGTTTGGTGACGTCAGCGATGACAAATTGCCAGTCCATTTTTCTGCGTAGGCCGAAGTTGACTGTGGATATTTTTGTGCCAAACGTTTTTATTGGAGTACCGTTTGCTGCGTAAAGATAGCTTGTGGGCTGAGCCCTGCGATCTGGTGGAGGTAAGATAGAGAAATCAGCGCCTGTATCGATCAAGTATCTAATTTTTGAAGTTTGATCCGTTACGAATAATCGACGACTGGTAACCCCCACTTCGCCCGCCGTCTCTGACAGAGTGGCTTTTAGTTTTCCGGATTGAGCTTTTTGAAGTCGCATGGCTCTGTGGACCGTCTAGTTTTGGCGCCAAATCTGCTGTGATAGTAGCAGAACGCGGAGCGATCCGGCGACTTAGAGTTACTGCGTGCGCGATTCCCGGGCCTTGATTTGAAATTTTATTCAAACGTCGGGGTCATCAATGTGCGACTTTACTCGCATATTTTATTTATTAAGAACAAAGTATGAATATAGTTCATATGATCAAGCAATTTTCATGACTGTCTCCAGTAAGTAGTTTTTGGGAACCGAGAGCTGATCCAGTTCCGAACTCGTTCACGACTAAGCTATGATTTATCGATTATAGATATTTTATTAAGTCGATGAGACTGCCACAAGGCTGACTGCCACTCAAATTGCGAACCAGATTTTAGGAAACCCTCCGGATGTAACTTCGTTCCTGAGCTCCTGGATGACATGTAGGTTGTGCTCATTAATCCGATGCAGCAGTGGTAGACTTAGCACATGATCGTGTCTCGTGAGGTTCAGCAGGGGTGAAGCTGCGATGCCTCGGACTTTGCTTACAGTTTTGTTGTGATTCAAATATTTAGTGCGAGGTGAGCCCCTTTTGTTGTTATCATGGGCCCGTCATCTACGCTGACTTTTGCGAATTGTTCGTTTACCATGATTATCCCCTCATCCACTAGCGTGATCGGCTCCAGGTGACTGGGTTATGTATGGCATACAGCTTATCCACCTGTATGTATTCCACGAGCACAGGTTTCATGTGTTGCCTGTTTGCAGTAACCTTAACCTTAGGATAGTCGATTAGTATGTGAATAATGCTATTGGATTGAAATACTCATAGTATATACTGTCATTAAACTAACTAAAGGGACCTCTGTGAGCTTTTCGGCAAAATAGACTTCAAATCATTGTGATAAAAAATTACGGGATTTATTATATTGGATTTGGTGACTGTGATAGTGAGCATTAGGTTTTGTATTTCTGTAATCTTCTGTTTCTCGCTTTTTTCTTTAAGTATTCTATTAACTGTATCGGTAGATTGATTTTTTTTTGCGTTTCTGTGTTAATTACTACTTGCCTATTGTTTGACTCTATAAGCTGAACTTCAGTTGCTTTGATTCTTTCCAGGTCCGTTGCGTCAGGAGTAACTGCCACAATTTTTAATGCCGTTCCCAAAAAATCTAAGCTTCTGGCTATTCTATGATGTATCATTAACGAGGACAGTAAATTCTGGGCATGTTCTATATCTACATCTAAAAGTTTTCACAAATGCGAGTGGAGAAACATTTCGGCCATTTTAATAGTGTCGGCTATGATGCTCGTGAAGTCTATCAAGTTAATCGAATGCCTCACGTAGCTGGGTTGCTCCCATATCAACATATTACCATCTAATATGGAAATGTAGTTTGCATGAGAGAAGTCGGGCATTCGCTGCGGATAGGATTATGGAGAATATTCCGATAAACCTGCGGGAACAATTAAGCCAGATCTGTAGTAATTATATGATTGGGTGTGATAAATTTGAAATTACTTCAGATTGTCCTTATGTACAACCCTCCCCTTAATGAGCACAGACGTTTCTAGGTCTGCTTGTATGTTTCCTTTTAAACATAACGCGGATAACTTATTTCCCAATCTTTTGTTATTTTTAAGATACACCATTTCACCTACGTCGAACACCCTGTTTTGCCTATCTGGGTTACATGTCTTGTGTTTTATTGTTTGTTGGAGCTCGTCAGTTGTTGCGTGAATTACAGCGCGTGGCCTTTGCCCTGTGACTGAATAGATGGTTTTATTATATTCTATTGTTGCTCAAGCTATTGCTTGGACTGTTGTGAAACACATAGCTATCTATATTAATGTACTATAGAATCAGTCTACTTGCCTATTTGAGCAGCTATGGAGTAGTGGGGCGATAACGATATCTATATTATATTGGTTCTTCAATAATGAAGTTATCGTTTCTGAATTAAACGACGCTTTATTATCGCAGTACATGGTTTTTGTTTTCGGTTTTTGTTACGTCTGTTGCATGTAAATGGCTGTACAACGGCAAATTTTGAAAATTTGTCGATGCAGGTTAGGAATAACTTTCG